TTGGATTGTCTTATAAGTAGCTTTTCAAACGTGATTTACAGAATACAAGGGAAGTATGTGATAAGAGTTTTGTCTCGGCTTATGTGAACTTGTTTATTAAAAGTTCGTCGTGAACGGAGCTCCAAACAAGCCCTAAAACATATGGTTGTGCAACAAGTCATTTGAACAACAAATTATAAAGGATACAATGTTAGGACCCTTTACAAGGTATGGCATATATGGTTCTCACCCACGAGCTAGATTTTGCGCATGATTCTCTTAAATGTCCATATCAATGGTATCAAGGACTTATACTACCCTCCATTCTCTACTTCTTTTCCCACGTTCTGTTCTCCTTTCCTCTTCCCATCTCCCATTCTCTTGCTTGTGTGTCGTTGCCAGGTTTAAGAGTCTGGATGCTAGGTTGTGGAGCCATGCTGGAATGTTGGAACCTATTGCAAAGGCATAGGACTTGAGTCTCACTTGATGGATCTGAAGCTTTTAACCTCATGAGCTAAATTCTGTGTGTGACTATCTTAGAGGTTTATATCATTGGCAAATTGGTATAAGAACCTTCTACAACTCTCTCCATTTTCTCTCCCATAAATCTCCTGCTCTCTCCTTTTCCTCTTGCCCGTATGATGAAGTCAAGTTTTGGAGCCTCTTTCCACTTGATCTCAACCATGCATGGGTCGTCATGCTGTGGACTGAGGTGAATGCTAAGACCCACTGCAAATATGAGACTTAAGCCCCACACCAGAAGTATGGGATACGGACATCCGATTGGTATGGACATTAGGTTCTTCAATCTTGGATCTAGCTTGAGCTATGGTTCTCTGAACACAGAAGCTACCTGTTAGGCTATGGCTCTCCTAAAGATTAATATCACTTATCAAAATGAATGGACTAAAATGCTCCATGTTTACAAATAAATATAGTTTTCAAAAAGCACACAATTTGAATCTGCAGCACCCAAGCTATCCTCAAAATTGTCATTTTGCTCAAAATGTGGAGACAAGGTTAGCAGTTGTGAACCAGCATTTTGCTTAAGTTAAGATGTGTCAAAAAGTTTATGAGCTATGAGTGAATTTTCTGCCCCCAGTACCAAGCTGCTATGGCTAGAAAACCTCAGGAATGATGAACCAACATGATTCAAAACATCAATTCTGTAACCCTTGGTAATCCAAAGAAAGGAGGCAAACCCTCACTTAACCTAGAATTTGGAAACATCGTAGACAAGCTTCAAATATGGATTACAACATTTGATGTATTTAACGCAAAAGTTATCCGTTCAGCTCCAACATGTTGAGTGGTTTTGTGTAACAAAAGCCATATGAAGATAATCTAGAGATTTTTCATTTTCATTTTTTTTTGGTGAATTCATTTTGAATTTATTACTACGTGAATATATCATCCCAAAACAAATGAAGGTCCAAAGCAGCAAGAAATGTAAGAAGAGATGCCAAAATAACTATAGGGATGAAGGCAAAATGTAAGAGCTGAAACATGCCTGAAATCCATGCACAAAACAACTACTCTCAAAACTTGCCCATTTCGTTGTGGGCTACTCCCAGACTTGTTTGTGCCTCTAGATCCGTTTTCCAAGATAAGATTTGCTTTTGCCTCCAACGGATTGAAGTAAGAATTTACACTTGGAGAATGATCCATATTTGCCATCCGTTCTATAATAATAATAGGAATGCGCAAAGGATCCTCGAATATATACATGTCTTGAAGTGAACCTATTGTTGATCTGCACTAAATTCATATTTGTCACAACCAGTTTGCACAAGAGAAGCATATAACACAGTTTCCGTTCAATAGGAAATGGAACGACTATAAAGCATTCTAGACAAGCAGCCACTCACCTTCATTTGTGCTATTCCTCGTCTATGAAGTTCAGCACGCATTGTTGCAGTCTGAGAAGGCTAAACAGAAAAGAGAGACAGCAGACCCAAAGAATTGTTTTAGTTAAGCAGACTTACATGCAAAAAATATAATGATTAATCCCAAATATAACAGCAGATGATCAAGTTTATGATTCTTGTACAAAATATATTAGATATTTACATCATCAGTTAACTTCCTCGAATTTAAAGATCTTCCATGTGTGCCCCAGCGCATTATTGTTCCTTCAACTCTGCTACTCAAACTCTGATGGGGCATCTCAGATATGGAGTGTACCATCCATATTGACCATTCAGATCTTCGATCAATAGCCCATGAATGACGTAGAAATTCGAGTATCATTGTTTTATTTTCCCTGGGTTAAAAAATAAAGGGAGGGAAAAGAAAATCATATCATTGCATCAATTTAATCCTTTAACATATGTTAAAATTATTAGAGTGCCCCTTGTGACAAAAGAAACACATCACGCTAAGACTTTATTTTAGTAATAAAAATGCGTCACAATATGCATAAACGGAAAAGCAGCTTCATTCCAAAGAAGTTAAAACTCTCTTAGACTGTAGATCAGGCTCAAGCTTGGCTGATAAAAGCAAGGAAATATCAGCCTAGAAATCAGGAAAGAAATTGAGGAAAACTTTTCCAGATACAATAAAGATCGGAATAGATGCAGGAATACAGAACAAGAAATATGAGCAACTATAAAGCTGCGACACTTGAGATAATTAATGGACATGTAATTACTTCAGTAATATATGTCAGCATACCTGTGAAATTTCAGAAACGTGTTCCACAGCTGTAAGAGCTGATTTCCCAGAGACTGATAAGAATTTAACAGATCGTCCCAAGATAAAGACTGAAACAATTTGTATGTATGCATAGCAATATAACCATTAGCTTTCTATTGAAGGAAAGGTAGAGCTACTACATAGAAATAAGTCTGAAAGATCAATAAAAGGGAGAATAAATAACAAAGCATTCACACTGCAGATTTTCTACCTCAGCACTGCCTTCTGAGCTGGTAGACAGTTGCTGTGAAAACCTATCTGTCAGTACGTCTAAATGTACCAGTGGCGAAGAATTAGCAAATTTTGTACGGTCAATTGTGGGATCCATCCCAGTAAGATCAATAGCTTGGTTGATTCCTTCGCTTAACCTTCTCAGATCTTCAAGGAGGATATCATGGGCAGCCATTAATGCTTTGATGAGCTTAGCCTGATTTGAGATTTGCCCATCAGTATACTTACTACAGCAATAAAAGGATTTCAAGGGGAAAAAAAGAGTGTAATGAGTTTAGCAAATAATATAATCACATGCTTATCATAGCAGCATCTTCATAAAAGGAAAAATATTATTGAATAAAAATCAAGTAGACGTAGATCATGTGAAATTTACTGCGATAAAACTTGCCTTGTTTGACTTAATAGAATCTTTCCTCATGAGCACCTTCAGAAGACCCATAATCACTGGCATAATACAAGTAATCAATTATTAGAGCCGCAAAGTATGTAAAACTCTAAATTATTTCGATGCTGCACAGTGACCAGCATTATGATGCAAGCTTCTAAAGATGAAACTCTGACAAACCTGGGTACCTTCAGTCGGCTTGTGTGAGCTAGCTTTTTGCAAACTGACATGAACACTTGTATCAACAAGACGACAGCATGTGAAACATCAAAATGGACAGGACAATATGAATGTAACCCGAGAAGAGCTTTAGGGGGAATTCTATACTCATGAACTGAAGCAGAATAAGCATCTGGAAACGCCTGCATCTCAGCTCTGCACAATGATGCAAGCAGTTCCAGGGTTCACATCTTCCAATTGACAATAATTATTAGCAAGAAAATAAACTCCACTTCAATAAATATCCATGTTTTGAATTTCATTTGTTAAATATACCAAGAAGTGGGAATGGCATCATTGACTAACCCAATATCAGATGTAAGGGCCTGCATAAGCTCAAACTTCATGATAACAGCAGACGATTTTGCCTGAGAAATAAAATCAATCATCAGCCATTATCTTACGAACTAGAGGGAAAGAATCAAGTCATAAGAAACATCGGTGAGCATAACTGGAATTGATACACTTATATAAACTGATTTTGACACATAATTATGATGTACTTACATTATTGTTTGTTTATTGCCTAAGTTCTTGTGTGATTTGTTTCCTTTCCCAAGTTCTTTGCTCTGTTCATTATTTATGTTTTCATTATATTGTCTGAGGGGACTTTCCACTTCTTTCAAGAATTTCAGTATTCATTTAACGTGAAACTATATCACTGTATCAAATTTATATTAAGTCAGGACATTTTTAGGGCTTTCAGTTGGCCACGTTGGAAAACCCCAAAAATATCACATGAAGCCTCAAACATAACCTTCTTTCTTACTTTTTTGGCAAGACAAAGATATCATGTTCTCAACAATCTTTCCTCTATTTTATCTGTTTTTAGCGTGTCAGCTACCTAGTTGATTTGTTCAACATAAAGAAACCCTCTCAACTACCTGCATATATACAATATCTTTCATATCAAACTATCAAAGGATAAGACAATTACTGACCTCATGTCCTGCAAAAGAAAGATAGAATGAGATCATAATAGAAAGAACCACATCCTGCCTTGCATATTTGATTCGAAATGGTGGTGTTGAAAAACTGTTGTCTGCATCATCTATTTTCCAAACTGTACATAAATTGTCATAACCCACTTCAGGAGCTGCAGCAAAAGATCAAGATGGATTCTCAGATTTCACTCCACATTAATCGCAGTAAAAAGATAACCATCTGATGGACCAAGATACTTCAAATCAAACACAATAGGGCCACTGCCTTATGATATCAACAGCATATAGCAGGCTTGAAAAAGCCGGAAAAAGTTTTCAAAACATGAAGGGTAAATATTTTAACTTAATTCAGACTACAAGAATTTCAAGTAGTTCATGGTTGGACACTACAAATTTATTCCCCCCAACCCCAGCAAAGAAAGAAAGAAAAGGAAAAAAAAAAAACTGATAATAAAAAAAAAATTTGTGAAAAATCTCTGAAAAGCTCTACATGGCATTGGGAAATGGGATACTTTGGCTTCAGGTCATATAAAATTGGCAAAAGTCAATACCATTGCACCGTGCATGATCTGGTCCAGACTTTACAGAAGTTAAAAATGATGACAAATAAACAGCATCATGAGGATCACCTCATGACTCATGATACAAGCTTGTCTTCTAAGACCCTAAAATTAAGGTTTTGCGTCATTTGTTTCCACATTCCATCTTTTCACAGGAAAAAGGAAAAAAAACACACGCACCGCGCGCGGGGGGAGAGAGAGAGAGAAGACTATCAAACAGGCCATTTATAGAACTCCTATTAAATCAGACAAAACATAAATATCTTTTTTGGGAAAAGGAAGTCTAAGTGGCTATTGACACGAGAAGTATGATCATTCTAAAATACTAACCGAAATTTCAGAAAGTAGTAGTGTATGAATACATGATTTGCGCACAATTTTCAAAGGCTTGATTAATGACCTAGTAAAAATCATATAAATAGTTTAGAGTGCACCTGCATTGTGAGAATTAGAAAGGGAAGTTATTCACTCTGTGAGCCTCGTCTGTTAAGAAAAATTGATTGGCAAGCTCATTGTAAGCTTGTGTAAATAAAAAGAACTTGTTCATCATATGTTGCACCTAAGAACAAAATTGCGTGGAAATCACACACAAGCACAAATATACCAATCAAACAAGCACAAGCTCTCAGTGAACCTGAATATGTAGCTCCATGAATTAACCATGTCTAGCTACAGAGAAACATCTTTAATGATTACTAATGTCTCAAAAGATTGTAAATATATTCACCTTCATACTGAACCACCCGTGCCGGAATCCCAGGATAGGAGTCATCGCCATCCTCCCATCTCAAAGTAACCTTGATTTTGTACCACCTACATTACATGACTAACATTTAAAAATCAAAAGGAATACAAAGAAAGTATTTGAAACAACATTCACCAGAACTAATCAGTTCTGCTGAATCTAGAGCTTACCCTTGTTCGAAAAGGTCTAGATTATGAAACCTATGAATGTAAATAGCAACTTCATGAACAGCATCCATCATAGACAGTAGATTTGCTCTTGCAGGACCACGTTGCTCGACACTGGGCAACCTTTTGGTCGACATATTCCTCTGATTCAGACCCATAAACCATCGTAGCCTCCGAATCCCAAACATGAGTGGCACTGGCAGACACTGTGATTACTGATATCCAATTCCCAAATAATCATTCCTAGTTGTTTCAGTGGAAGTTGAGCAAAACCCACAACTCCTGAACCAAAATGAACCCAATACCAAACTTCCCACTCCCCTTAGTTTCTATGCTTACTAAACCCATCAGAAACCTCTCCTTTTTCAAAGATATATAGCTTTAATGTCAAGTTGCAGAGCAAATCTGTAATGTAGGTTTTGAGCTGAAGCGATTGACGGGAGAGAGTTAGGAAAAGTTGGGATGAAAATGGAGAAAAGGCAGAAGGAAGGAGAGGAAAGAACTAAGAACGAAGACGGACTTTTTTGTTTAATCATTCTTGTACCTCGTTGGCACACAGCAGGACCCAACCAAAAAAAATGTAAAAAAACATCATTTTTTCTTGTCAAACCCTACAGGAGCAGGTGATGATGATGGCATTAATGATAGTTTTTTCTTTTGTATTTTTTTTTATTAAATTCCCCAAAAAGATAAAAATGGGAACTTTGAAAAGAGCACCACAGGTGGAAGCGCATGTCGTGTCAGTATAGTCATGCGGCCATGTTCAGCTCACGTTGTGACATTTTAACTGTGGGGATCGAAAATCACGGGACGTGACTCCGGCCTGGAAATTTTGGTCGGCATCATTATTCGTCTGATCATCCGTTGTCTGTTGATAGATAGATCCCTTAACCGTTAAGACAAAAGTAAGCTTCTTTTGCTATTTGGTGCCATGGAAAATTGGCTCAAGGTAAATCCTAGTCCTACCCTCTCAGACCCCGTTTGATTCGCTGTATTTTCCTTAAAAAAATGAAAATGGAAATTGTGTTCCAATGTTTGGTTGGCATGAAGAGTATTACTGTATTCATCTGTACCAAACACAAATCATATCAAAATAATTATCTTCTAATTCAGTGACATAAAAACTTGAGTAAATGAAAGGTTTGTCTGATGCATATCCTTTTAAATTAAAAAAAAAAAAAAAACAATTGTGCAACTTTTTCAACGAAAAGTAATACTTTTTCTTCTTCACTCAATTTATTCTCTTCAGCAAAACAAGAAAGGGGAGCTTTTAAGGTATAAATTTTGGTCATGAACCGACAAAACACTAGCTTATAAAATCCATCCCTCCTCACAGTTTCATGTAGGAGAGATACTGCTTAATCAAAGTTCTTGAATTTACACTAAATTAGTTAAAATTTGATAAAACTATACTCAATATACTGTTTGATTTTAAAAAGGATATAATTAACTAATTTTTATTTATTTTTTTCTCAATAAGTTTAATGCACTTTCATTTGATCATATTTTATATCTTCTTACTGACTCAAATTGACTTGACTTTACCGAATAAACGCCTCAATAGGGTTTAGTCATTATTTGTCACTCCAAAGCTTTGTGAAAAGATGATTTACTAGGTAACAAGTTTACAAAAATCGATCAAATAAAAAATATACACAACAAATAATTTTTACACTTTATTTCAGTTAATTTTCTTTAAAAAGTAATATTGATATATGTTACTATAAATATATATCCTTGACTGAGCATTTTTGTTTGTAATTTTCTGCAAGACATATATAGCCCCAGTAGATTCTATGATTTTCTCAAATCTACCTGACAAAATCCCTTATTAGAAGGCTGGAATTCTCTTTCATTAGATCAAGAAAATTTGTGAACTTGTCTCCTGGGTCATCAACTTTACAGTTGTTTGAGGTAGAGATGTAAATATTACTCCTCCGATCCTTAATATAAGACTTATTTAACTAATTTGATTAGATTAAGGAAGTTAGGTAAGTTGGTTAATTATAAGAAAGTGACACATTTTTCCTAAAACACCATAATCATTTTTCAATACCCCATCTCTCTACATTTGGTTGAGGGAGTATCCATAGGGGTAATTTAGAGAACATTGATAAATATGAAAAATGGATCTTATATTTAAAATCAAAACCAACTCAATAATTGGTCCTATATTAAGGATGAGGAGTACAATTTAATTAATTATTTCATAACAAAAAATTAAAAAAATATATAAAGAAAATGCCCTATTCGGGGAATCATATGAAATTGGAATTAGTGGGTAATATCATGAACCATGAATAGTTAGTTTACGAAATTGGGCTAAATTTTAAATACTCCTCCGGTCCTTAATATAAGACCCATGTAACTAATTTATGATTAGGAAGTTAGGTAAGTTAGTTAATTATAAAAAATGACATGTTTTTCTCAAACACCATAATCATCTTTCTTATACCCCCTCTCCTTCTCTACTTGATTATGGTTGAGGGAGTATCCATAGGGGTAATTTAGAGAAAATTGATAAATATGAGAATGGTTCTTATATTTAGGACCAAAATCAACTCAACAATTGGATCTTATATTAAGGACCGAGGAGTATTATTTGTTGATGTTTGACCCTTTATCATTTTGCAAACTCTTGACGCAATTGAGTTGCCTTTAACGTGATCTTTCGGTGCTGGAAAAAGAGAAAATGACCTTATATTGTTCTTAGTTACAAGTTAATACTGCCTCTTGTTTTTATACATATTATTTAAAAAATTAGTTAAGTTAATATTTGTAGTAAATGTATAAATATTCTATCTAATCATATGCATTGAAATTATCATAAAAATCTTCTTAATATGTGTAATTAATAGTGATACTTTAAAAAAATAGTTATAACTTTGGGATATAAAATGAATTGTGATTTTAAATTTAAGACCGAGCTGAACCTTTTATTTAACTCCAGTATTTAAGACTAGAGGTAGTAGTTTAGCATAGGGTGCAATCTTGCAACTTAAGGATGAAAAACAAAGTTAAAATAATTTTAAATACTAAATATTTATGTCTCCACTATTATAAGGAACTTTTTTGACAAATTGACTACGCATGTTAATGGAGTTCATCAAGTACAACTTGAAATCGTATTTTTATAAACTTCCAAGAACGTCTTCCAATCAACTTAACCCTAATCCAAACTTACACTTAATTATTTTCCCATCTTTGTGGGTAATTTTAGAATAGGTTCATTAATTCAAGCCTTATTTTTCTCAAAATATATTATATTACCTTCGGTTCTTAATATAAGAACTAGTTGACTAATTTGAATAAATTAAGAAAACTAGTTAAGTTAGTTATTTATAATAAATAGATATTATCTTTCTTAAAATATCCTTACTAATCAAGTATATTAATTAAAGCTATCATTATTACAAAGATCAACTTAGAAAAAAAAAAGATAAATATGAAAGACAAAGTATATTTGAGTTTTATATTTAAGACCAAAATAAAAACTAAACAAATTCTTATATTAAGAAACAGAGATAATATTTTGAAACACTTAAAAAGCCATCTCGTGATATAAAATGGAAGGAGTGATTACAAAAGTAGGAGTATGATAGACATGAACATGGTAAATCAATAATATCCCTTTCTTCCCTCCATATCATGGGAGACATTAGAATCCATGGAATAATCAATGGAATAGTTAATAATTTTTGTTATTACACTTTATCTTTTTATTTTAAATATTTGAAATAGATTAATTTAATTATGATCCGTTGGAACATGATGCAATAATTATATTCTGAACTGGGATCATTTTTTTTTTCATCCTTTAGTATAAATATATAACTTCTTGTCAACATTTAATAAGGAGAATACTATTTTTGGTACAATTTAAAGAATAAATTTTGTATCCAAATTTTTAAAGTTTTTTATTAAAAAAATATTTTTGGTTCTTCTCTATTTAAAGCTCGAATTTGGATTGGAAAAAAAATGAAAAGAAAAAGCGTTAAGGGTCCCCAACACAAGCATTGGTGATTGGTTAATCATTCTCCCAAGTCCCAATGACACCCCAAACTGTGGTTAATAATCTTTCTTCTTTTAATTTATTTTATTATTGGTGGCCAAAACACTGAGTATTTCCTAGTTTAAAATAGTAAATTACTTTTTTAACCATCAAAATAATAATAAATTACTTTGATCCTCATCCTGGTCAAAATAATCAGACCTGCAGAACAAGTTGTTACCACCCGTTACCAAATATTCTTTTACCGAAGGCAGAGCTGTGATTACATATTTAAACATATAAAAAAAAAAAGGTAAAAGCTAAACTAATTAAAAAGATAAGTGAAACTATCTGAATTAACTGAAAACTTATTATATTAAGCATTCTTTTTCCTTTTTGGTCAAAGAGATACTATTGTTTATTCAATAAAAGCAATAAGCATTATATAATCCTTAACTAACAATCATTTAGAACTTTAAAAAATTATACTACCTCCTGTCCTAAATATAAGAGCTAGTTGATTAATTTGAGAAAATTAAGGAAATAAGTTTAGTTAGTTAGTTGTAATAAATAGATGTTGTCTTTCCTAAATATCTTTGATAATCAAAGGCATAAATATCAGAGATAAAATGGATTGTGGTTTTATATTTAGAACTAAAACAAAAATGAAACAAGGTTTTATATTAAGGATCGGAAATAGTATATTATTATAACCACTATTTAATGAATATCGTACTAATTAATATTTACTGTAAATTTTTCAAGAAGCCAGACCATGTAATAATTACACACACATAAATAAATGATAATCATCCATATCCAAAACTAATAAGCCGATTTTGATTTTGACCATATTCCTAATCATACAAGGAAAAGTAAACTTCATAATAGATAAAATATATCTTCTAGCAAAAAAACCAAAAGATAAATTTTATCTATCAGAATTCACCAAAAATTATATCGATAACTGATCAATTTCTTAAAAACAACCCCAATTTCCTAAAACGCTAAGGAGGAGGAAAACCACTCTTATATATAGTAACCATTAATTAACACAACAATCATACAATCATATTCATCAAACTCAAAGCTTCATTAATCTTAATTCATCGTCAATGGCGTCCCACCCCAGCATCATAGAATTTCTCCCAACCCATGTCTTATCAGAAGTTTTAGCCACAGTTGCGTCTTCTTCCATGGCCGATCTCTGTACACTCAAAACTTGCTCCAAAGAGCTTCACAATCTGATTGAAGAAGACGACTTCATTTACCAGCGGGCGTGCATGCAGAAGCTTCCCTACATTCCATGGTTCATTACACCCCCAGAATCTTCCTTCCTGACTCGTTGCAGACAAAGCGGAAACCCAGAAAGCTTGTACAGAGAAGGAATGGTGCAATACTTCAGCCCTCTGGGGCTTCATGATTCTGGTCTGGAAAGATTGAAGGAAGCTTCAGAGAAGGGTCACACAGAAGCAAGATATGTGTGTGGGATGATTCTGCTGTGTAGTGAGG